GCTGGAATCTGCAGATTTTCTATCAGGGATGCTAACTCACCAGCTCTGTGAAATACTAAAGAGCATTTCAATATCTTTTAAGAATCCTAAGACACTTAATTAAATGGTTTATGGCTGTAAAAATATGTAGTCTATGACTGTTTTTGTCCCACATGCATATTGGCTCAGATCCTGAACTGCCACCAACTCTCCACCTTCCCTTCCAAAAAAACATACTTCTATTATAAATAAGCCATGGCATTTTAAAAGCAGTAATCAATTTAAAATCCCAATTTAAAATAAGTTATATAGCAAGTTAAAGTAAATTTGCCTTGTATTAATCATGAGTGTTTCTACTTAGGTCTGCCTATGTCAGTCCCATAAAATATTTATCTTTTAGGTTAGGGAGGGTGGGAAGTACAGGGGAGCAGATAGAGGAACATAGTATACATTTCCATTCCTTATTATAGTAAGTAAAGGGCAGAATCTGTCTATTCATTTATCTATCTTTTTAATGGTAACCACCGTGGCAGTAAAGAAGGGAGAGTACCCAGTATCACCTAATTGTATTTTAATTGCTGTTAGGTAGCCATTTCAGATACCCTTAAGCACGTGTTAAATCTGAAGTTAACCTTTTCCCCTTTCAAAGATAAGATAGTTTTAAGTTTTAGTTTCTAGTTTTTTATTTTTTGTTGGTTTCTTTTCTGCACTTTCCTGTTCGATCACAGAATGTGATTTCATGAATATTGTAACATGACAAAGGAAAACAGTTAATGAGCATTTTCCAAAAAAAGGGAGGGTGAGATTCCCAGGTAGCAAAGCAGTAGGAGAGAACAAACCTTAAGGTAGTTGTACTCTACCTGCTGAGAACTGGGGTCTCAGCTATCCGTTTACAAGTTAAAAGGGATGAAGCTGAAACTCCGTTTGGAGAAGGGACTGGCGTCCACGCGCCTCAAGCAGTCTCTTTCTCTTTGTTTTTAAATGCTACTGCAGTGTTGTTTCTCGCTGTCTGAAAGGACCACAGCGTCAAAACCCTGATTGTCATCCTCAGTGGGAGAACAGGTTTCCAATTTCATCAGCTGGAACGAACTTTGTGTGTGCTCGGTTTAAAGCACTAGAGAAAATGCGGCCTTTCCAAGGCAGAGCTTTTTCTGGGTAGAGGAATAGCTAACAATTTGCCCACGATTTTGATTATTTTCGTTCCTGGCTGGTTCACTCATCTCTTATCTAAACCATCCCCTTTAGAGATCTTCCAGGTGAAGTTATTGGATTCAATCAGACTGGAGGAGGGAGTCACTATGACCTTGAGCGGCTCAGAAGTCCCCACCTGCCTAAGGTCATGGAGCATGCATGCGGGCTCTGCGACTGGGTCCTCGGGTACCCTCAGTGCGAATTGCCCCACGGGTACGAGATGGGCACAGACACTAGTTCCTCTGGCTTCAGGCGGCTGCAGGAGGTACTCTGGGAGTGTTTTTAGAGTCTTCTCCTGGGGGAAGCTCGGGAAAAGGAGAAATGGCGCGGAGAGACCACGTAGGCCACCAGCAACCTCCCTCACCTTAACCCTGACCCATCCGTCCTTGTCAACGCCATCCACCCCATCAAATCCAGGCAGAATGTGCGCCGACAGCCCGACCCGAACCGCACTGCGGGCCTAGGCCGACGCCTCCCCCACCCCACCTCCAGGCCCGGGACTGCGCATAGGGAAGAGGCCATTGCTCGCCCCAGGGCCGTGGGAGAGGAGGCGAAACACGGAGCTTCCTCCCGGTCCTGCCCGAGACTCTTGAAGCCAGGGCGCCGGCCCCAGTCCGAGAAGTTCTAACGACAAGCCCAGGAAGGTGCGCCCTTCCTGGATGGCACCCCTCCTCTAAGCGCGCGGGCGAAGAGTCCAGGTCCGAGAGCCACGGCCGCCGAGGCCCCAGGAAGCGAAGAAGGAGACAGGCGGGGTCTGAAGCAGGAAGGGCAGCGGGGAATGCGCCGCAGGGCCTAGGCTGCCTCCCGACCCCGCTCCAAGGCCTGAGCCGGCTGCCCAGGGCCCAGAGCGCGGTGCCTGAGAACCAGGGACGCTCACACCTGCAGCGTGGCCAGAGCGGGGGAGCAGAGTTCCGCCAGGACTGCTTTACCATGCTGCCACAGGGCCTGTTCCAAACCCGCAGTCGTGCGTCCTGGCGCCGCTCACGTGCTGTCCCGGAACTTAGCTCCCTGACTCGAAGAGGGCTACCGGGACGTGGGCCTGGGAGGTGGCCCCGGGGTGCCCAAGACAACGACAGCTGCGTTGTCCCGCGAAGCTCAGGCCTCACTCTCCTCCCTTGTCTGGCCTTCGAGGCCAGCCTGGCAGCCTGTGCTTTCAGGGACTCCAGAGCCTGGCTACCAGGCCCCGCGCCCGGAGTTGCGCTGTGATGCAGGTCCAGAGATGCGCGTGCTTCTCTGTGAACCGATGAAAACGTGGCTCTGTCCCGAGGGGAGCAAGAGCAGAGGGGCTCCCGGACTCCCCGAACCTCCGCAGGACAGAATGGCGAGAACGGCCTCCTGAGTGTAAGGATGGCAGGAGAAGCTCCCCCAGTTCTCTGCAGCCGGAGAAATGCGGAACGCAAGCCTCTCGATCCCGAACCTGGAGTCCTGCTTGCTGGATTTGCCAAAGACCTGCAGACGCCGGGAGGCGGTAGGAAGTGAAGCCCCCTCCAGCCGCAGCCGCCGCCGCCGCCAGCGCGGCGCAGCTGCCACAGAGCGGAGGAAGGGCCGCTGCGCGCGGGTTCCGTGCCAGGTGCCCGGCTGGTCCTCAGCGTGTGGAGAGTGGCGTAACTAGGGTCGCTGCTTAGCAAACTCAGAACTAGCGCATAAGCGACCACGCCACTACCTCTTCCTGGAAGCTTCCACTCCAGCTCGGGGTCAAGACCAGGCTGTCCTTGCCCAGAGAATAGGTTCAAGATCAGCGGTGCCCGATCCCACAGGCGCCTTTCTCCCGGCCTGCAGCTCGAGAGGCTCTTGAGTTCCTCACCTGCTAAACAAAAAGCTTGGGAATCACAGGCCAAAAGCCTTGACCTCCGAGAATTTAGGAAGCTTCCTTCTCAGCCAAGAGGTCAAGGCGAGCAGGCAGCAGGGACCTGAGCAATCATGTGTTCCGATTTAAAGTGTTAAAAAAAAAAAAAATTCACCCAAGTATTTGATTTTTTCATTTCGCTTGGCAAAATGCTGTAAGGTTTTGTTCTAAAAAACATTTTATTTATAAGCCGTTGTTCATTACTTTCGGGTATCATTATGAAATCTGCTGAGGAGAAACAAAAAAAAAATGGCGTTAAAGTGCGACGCCGAGAAGGTAAATTGGAGTTCCCTTTACAGCTGGTTCTCCAAGATCTCCTCGAGGGGAAAAAATTACATATGGTTAGTTCCCCCTAACGATTGCTCTAAAATGATTGCCAAGAAAACTCCAAGCAATATCCAGCTTTCTCGCCTCCTCCTGCTTGTCCCTCTTTTAGCCAGACTTAGCCGGGGATGGTGGAAGGAGGCATATTGTGCAATTTCTTATTAAACACATCTGGAATATGCGCGCTTTGGATCAAGTGTCAGCGATTTTACAAAGAGTTTATGACTGTGACAGAAGATTGTCCTTTTAACGAGTTTACAAGCAGTAATCACGGGAGCTTTTACAGAACCAGCCCTCTTTGCTCCTCGCCAGATCTGCAGACATTTCCAAGATTCACCAACCAAGAGAGCAGGAAGTGGGCCGGGGCGCCCTGGGAGACAAAACTTCCAGGAGTCTAAAATTATGCCAAGCGGCGCTGGAAAGAGTAGGGGGGTAGTCATCAGAGAAGGAAGAGAGGGCATGTAAGAAATTATAGTAATTGGCCTTTCCTTATTTTCCAGAGAGATTTCCTCGGCATCCTTTGAAGCCTGTCAGGGTCATTGAAAGCTATCTTTGTGCGGGGTGTTTGTTTTGGGGAGTGAATGTGAAGAATGTGCGGAGATTCCCTGTGAGAGCCCCTCCTGCAGAGGGTGGCATTTCTCCGTGGCCCAAGACGTGGAGAATAAACACCCTTGTGACTTAAATAAACACCAACTTAATGATCCAAAACACTAACAAGGGAGATTGGGACCCTGAGTTCCCAATCCAAATGATGGTCTCTGAGCACTGTGTGCACATCTGTCCATCACTGAGGAGAAAAATGACTATTAGTAAAAGTGACTACAGTTAAGTACAGTGACCGTTTCTCCCTTGAACTCAAAGCCATTTGACAGTTTGGAAAAACAAAAAACTCCTAAGAAGGCCTCAATTTCCCCCACACACCTCAGTTTCCTAGATCAGGACAGGAATGATAGGAAAGAGTAAGTAAGAAATGAATATATTGATGGTGACACTTATGGATGGGAAAAAACCAAAATTATGAAACTGTCATGTCAGAAAATAAATAGACTCTCCCTGGGGAACAATATTTTACAAAGCACAAGCAAGCCAATCCTGTTATCCTGAGTAGAATTTTAATAAATAATGCCATTTGTTTCACTAAATTTTAAAAGCTACATACAGAAGATACATCATTTTGCCCCAGGCAAAAATAATATGGAGCCTACATGATTACTGGGATTTTTCTGGACACTATCCGGCAGGACTGTAAAATAGCTCCTGTCCTGCTGGTCTGCTTTCTATTTGTACAGATTAATTCACAATGTTTCTATCCTTGTACGAGTTCCCTTTTTTTTTCAAGCCGATAAATTATTTTTACTTTCACAGTCTTGTCATAAACTTGTTAACACAAAAGAGCTGAGTTAACATGTGAATGCTGTGGAGAAGAGCTAGTGGTAAACAAAACTGCATATGTAAATAATAAAAAATAAATACCCCAAAGCTAAATTCACCCTTTTGTCAAATAATTAACCTAGTCACTACTCTTGATTCAGGTGATGGCCTTCAAAATACCCTGCAGTTCATAACTACCATTAAATAAAAAAGCAAGAAAACTTACTTTTTTAAAAGTAGGGCCCAATGACAGCAATACACAACTCACCTTTCAGAAACAGAATCATACTCCCGGTGTTCTACTAAGTTTTAATTTAGACTGGTTTAGGTACAATAGAAAAAGAAACCTGAAAACACATGCTGTTTTAGTAACAAATACCAGGTTGCCAGATTTGTCGGCATACTTTTGCAAGCTAGAAACTAGGAACAGGAGAAACCTTTAACAGGAATAGACTACAGATAGGAAAGCTCTGAGGACATGAGAAGTAATGGCATTCAGGAAAGTGTTTTTTCACATTGGTACATTTTTAGAGTTTGTCATTTAAAAAAAAACCCAAGAAAACAAACAACAACCAAAAAAAACCCACTAAATTTGACGAAAATAGTTGTATTACTAATGGTCACTTCTATTTCTAACTGCCTCACATAAAGAGCATTAAGACATTTAGGCACTTCTTTTTTTCCCCCTAATACTGTTATTCCATTTTAATCTACATAAAATTGTTTAACACTAAATATGAAAAATGTAAACTTGATTTTTCCCATCAAAAAAAGATTATATTTTCCTATTCACCTTAAAAATGCAACCAGTTTCTCCCAGGCTGGAGACTCTTATTTTCACTATTTTGATCTGTCTTTCTCTCTCTCTCTTTCTCTTCATTTCCTTTTCCTCTTCCCAATACATTTCTCCATAAATAAATTAAAAGAAAATAATTAAAATCCAGTTGATTTGTAATTCCCATTCATTGAAAAAAAGAAAGGCTATTGAAGCAGGAGCATTCAAACAAGAACTGAGACTGGGTGACTGGGTGCTTTTGTTTGTTTGGGTTTTTTTGTTTTTGTTTTTCCTGATCTCTGCACTGAGAGGGGAAGTGCAAAAGTGGAAAGAGTCGGAGAGAAGAGCAGGACTAAGCTTGAGATCGCTTTTGTTTTTGATTTTTAAAAAGATATTTGTGAAAGTCCACCATTCCTTATGCGCAAAGAACCCCAGAAACAAGCTGCAAAAAATGTTCCTCATTTCTATTTACAAGTGTCCCTAGTCACTGCAGTTGGTTGCTGCTCCAACCATCCCTTCAAGGCCCCAGTCCCTCCCCACTTAGGACCCCAAGTCCACCAGACTGGAGGTGAGGGGGCCAAGCAGAGAGTCCTGGAGCTGATGCTGGTGGGCCTGCAGGCCATGGCTGGGCTGCGTGGCTGTTAAGCCTGGGAGAGAATAGTTTGAGCTTCTGGCGTGGCCCATATTGCTCTGCAGCAGAAGGACCGAGTTCTGGTCTGGACTTTGGGGAGGTGAGAATTCCTCTTCTGAGCTGGACATGAGCGGCTTGCCCCCTTCCAGAGGAGAGAGTTGATTTTGCTTGTTGGAGGAGGAGTTATTGTTTTCAGTGTTCTCCCTAAGAAATAGAGGACAACACCATATGGTTTAAAAAAAAAAAAAAGTTTTTTTTTTTTAAAAAAAAAAGTGTGAGATGGAGGGAGGGGAGTTGGAAGGAGGAAAGGGCAATTGTGCAATCTGTCACCAACCCAAATGGAGGAGTTCTGCCTTCCCACCCATCCCCAAAGGTCGTGGGGGAGGTGAAGAGGCAGAGAAGACTAGAGAATTGAGGAGCTACAGACAGACCTTGCCACACTGCCCTTGGGAGCCAGGTCCCTTTCTCTTCCAGATTTCAGAAAGCCAGATGAGCAGGAATTATTTGAAACAAACAAAAAATGTTTTTAATTTTGTTCAAGTTATTATGTTCAAATACCTATGAACTAGCACCATACTTAGGAGTAACTAAGTTTGAAAATCTTCCAACGAGTAGTTGTTGGTAATAAAGAAATGATCAGGGGACAAATGTTTCAGGTGAATCAAGTCAATTGCCTTGTTCCCATCTGAGGAAACAAACGTCGATTTTCCCTGCCCCTGCCCAGAGGTTGTGATTTCGGAGACACAGGACAGGTCATGGGAAGTGGTGCCCAGTGCGGCCCAGTGACCTGAGTAAACACAGGGAGTGAAGCCAGTCTCTCCAATTTCATCAGGGAGTGGGCCCTCGGGCCTGGCTTATAGGACGGGCGTTTTGTAACCAAAAGCTAACTGGAACCGTACAATCCCTGCTTCCGTGTTGCTTGCTCACTCCTCAGCCTCTCATGGCCCCCTCTCCAACTCCCCACCGCCAGCCACCCCAACCCACCCTTTCCCGGAGAGGACACTTCCCTGCCCCGCACACGCTGCGAGCGGGCGCGGCGCGCCGGAGCGCTCGTCCGGGCACCGGGTCCCGGTTAACTTCAGGCTTCGCTGCCCTGGCCGCTTCCGCCTTCCAAGTGCTTGCGCGTCCTCCCCGCTCCTAGCGCCTGCCAGTCTCCCTCTTTCTCTCCTCTTCCCTCACAGCCTCTCTCTCCTAGAGAGCCTATTTCAGCTGGATTTATCCAAGCTCTGTGGTCTTCCACCCAGAGGGGAACGAGGAAGCGAGATCTTCGGCCCCCAGGCTCAGAGGCGAACAAAGAAACCCAACAGGCCCCTGCGCTCAGGCTTCCCCAAAACCTGGCTCGGTGGAGCGCTCACCCCGCCACGGCCGCCTCCCCAGCGCTCTTCCGAATCTCTGTCGGAAACTCTACAGCCAACGGATGGAGCCGGGCCAGGTGGCCGAGGGTGTTGCCGCGAGGAAGGGGGAGGCAGAGACAAGTTAAAAAATATTGCCTTCTGAGCTCCAAGGCGAGAAACGTCTGAAGACCACCCCTTCATCGCCCGGGGCGGCGGCGCCGACGGCCAGACCGACGGGCTGCGGCGCCCGGGCCACGCGCTAGGGAGCCCGGAGAGGAGCAATCCTGTCTGGGCTTGGGGCGCCAATGCAGGGCCAACTCTCCCCAAAGCTCTTTTCTATGTATTCCTTTTTAAAACTCCCCCCTTTGTCCAGATAGTATGGAATGAAGCAGGCTATCTCTCATCCAAAAACTACCAGGAGAGAACGCGTGAAGAACCGGGCGGGAGTGGGAGCAGAGCGGATGTCTCCCGCCAGCTTCACCCCCGGGGGAGCAACAGAAGAGAGGTTTGCTACCCTCGGCCCCCGCCGAACCCCGTTCCTCGCGATACCAATCAACACTCCCCTTCCCGTTGATCTAGAAACTCCCTCTCCAACCCCGACTCCTCGCCGCTGCCAGCCGAGGAGGCATGGAAAACAAACCTAGCGCCCCTATTTTCCGACACTCACACCCCAAAGAATCCCACGCGCTGGTGCTCAAAGCAAATGCGGCCCCATCCCTAGCAAGCAACCTCAAAGTTCATGAACTTTCGCTGCAGTGTCGCGGAGGCCTGGGCGCCGCCCCGCGGACAGGCTCCGGCCGGCGGGGAGGACTTGGTGGCGGCTGCCTGCGGGGGCAGGAAGGGACGAAGGGGAAAGGAAGGCTTCCCGGGGTCGCTCGAGCCACGGGAAGCGCGCCGCGTACCTTTCCTTGGCCTCGGCGGCCCGGTCTCTTTGCCTCCGGTTCTTAAACCAGTTGCTGACCTGGGTGGTGGTGAGGCCGGTGGCCTCGGCCAGCTCCCGCTTCTCACGGGGCGAGGGGTAGGGATTGTGTGCGTACCACTCCCGCAGCACGCCCCGCGACTTCTCCTTGAAGCAATAGCTGGTCTCCTCGCCGTCCCAGATAGTGCGCGGCAGCGGGAATTTTCGACGCACCCGATATTTGCCCACGGCGCCCAGGGGTCGGCCGCGCAGCTTCTCCGCCTCCACGTAGTGCGCCTTCAGCCACAGTTGCTGCAGTTTGGGGTGGTTGTGAGGCGAGAACTGGTGGCTCTCCAGGATCTTGTAGAGCTCGCGGAAGTTGCCGCGGTGGAAGGCGACCACCGCCTTGGCCTTGAGCACGCTCTCGTTCTTGTGCAGGTGGTCGCAGGCAGGCAGCGACCATAAGAACCTACCCAGGCGCTCCAGGTTCCCGCCCTGCTGCAGAACCTCGCACACGCACGCCACTTGCTCCTGCGTAAAACCAAACGACGGCAGCATCGACATGGCTGGGGCCTGCCGGGGCGCACAGCCCAGGCGCACGCGGCGGGGAACGGAGCCGAAAAAGCAGGGGGTGGCGGCAGCAGGGAGGGGGGCGCGGCTGCTCCTAACCCCCTCCCTAGGCTTTTCCAAGGTGAAAAAGCGAGTCGGAACTTGGGGGTGGGCAGCCAAGGAAGAGGAAGAGGAGGAGTGTAGAGCGCGCAGGATACCGAGCAGCCCGCGCACTCCGCAGCCTTTCGGGCCTGGCTTGCTGTGGCGTCCCGCCCGGTGGATGCTGCTCGTTGCTGGGGAACTTGGTTTCTGTTCTCCCCGCAGTGGCCTTAAAGCGCGCAGCGTCCTCAGCACGCTGATTGGCTGCGAGAGGCGCCTATCCCCGGCTGGCCAGCCTGCGCGCCGCCCGGCGGGGCAGCAGGGCCGCACCGCCCCGCGCGGGGAGGGAGAGGCTGCGGAGCGGGGTGTAGGGAGTGGTGGGAGGAGAAGGACCGCGAGAGGTGGGAAACGAGGTGGGGTCACGGGGAGTGAGCCGCGCTGCCGGAGTTGGGGAGGGAAGGAATGGGTGAATGTGTCAGGACCCTGCAACTCGACCCCCCTCTCCAGTGTCACCGAAGGGGAGCGGCGCACATCTCTGCACAAATCAGTGACTCAGAACTTTCTAATTCCCCTCCTCTCTCTCCGTACTCCTGTCCCTGTCCCTTGCAAACTTGCCCTTTCCCCGTGAGCTCATATTTAATTACTTTAATGTTGGAATGAATAAATAATGAATTGATGAATAGCTTATGGAACGCGATAAATAATACAAGAGCAGACCAGGGCTCCGGGCTGCAGCCACTGGAAGAGTGGCTTCTCTCCGGTTGGCTTCAGCTACAGAAGCCAAATCTAATTTCCTCCTCCATCCCCCCAACGACCCTCCCCACCCTCCATAGAGCAGAAGTACTCCCAGAGGAACAGCGTTTGTTTCACTGATTCTCAAGGGGCCGCCACAATTTGGGACCAGGCAGAGAGCTACTTAAAGCATACTTGCTGAACAGATAGAGATTCCAAGAGTTCGTTTGTGGTTTGGTACCTTAACGTTTTACGGTGTAAACCGACAGTCTTCTGAACTCAGTTTCCCCACCTGCGCGGTTGCATTTTCCAATACCGTCTCTGCTACTGAGAAATGCCGAGAAGCTTTACTTGCTATTAGCAAAAATGTTTTGGGAACCTCGTATGAAAGGCGCTGGACGGGGTGTAAATTAAATAAAACTGTGCCAGGCTCCAATAACCGTCTGGTTGTAACATAATCCTCGCCCTACTCTAAGAGGGATACTGCCCTCAAAGAGAGGACGACAGCGGCTCCAAGAAGATTAAATAAAGAGAGGTGTGTGTGTGTGTGTGTGTGTGTGTGTGTGTGTGTGTGTGTGTGTGTGTGTGTTGCAATACTGGCCCATTTTGCTGCCAGGGAATGAGAAACGTCCTGCAGTTTAAGTCCCATCATCTGCTATTTTGTTTATGTGGGGAGAATACTTAGTAAAACTACACAAACAAGTGAAGTTGTAATTTTCTTAAGCCTCATTTGCACACCTTGTTTCAAAGCAATTATTAAAAAGATTTTAGAAACAATTAGCCTCTCTAAACAAAGATAATCTATTGTCAGTAGCTGAGACTGGCAGGAGATAAGAACAATGCGTGGAGATAAGGGAAGCCAAATGGTGGAAGGAGAATCACTTTATGACTATACTTATCTTTGATTAGATAAGTTCAAAACAGAATTTTAAGTACACTTCAAAAATGCTTTTGATTTCAACGTGCCCTCTTAGTGAATAGTGAAGAACAAACTCTGAGCTCTTTAAACTTGCTTGTCTTCTTTAAATATGTTTTGATTCCATTAGCCAAAGATCCCAGCACTACAGAACCTTTTGCATGTTGATACGTAAGTGGGAGACGGAGAAGCAATGTGCAGGTTTCCCCTTGTATTATTAATATGGTTTTAAAGTAATGCACCTGGTCTAGTGCACCCTGAAAAGTACACTTTAAACTCATGAAGAGTTCCCACCTCAGGGCTGTCTCTCGGGAGATTCCAAGTATAAAGGAAGCTGCTTTTCCACTGAACTCCCACATAATGCTTTCTGCATCTTTGAAACTCTGCACATCTCATGCAATTGAACCTTAGAGGCAGGTGCTGATATTTCATTAAATTTAGGCTTATTTTTTTTAATGCATGTAATGGGTGTGTATTATTTCAAAAGTGCCCCTGCCACATGGCATGCCCAATGACTTATTTTCTAAACTGGAAGCCTGGCACTGCTGAACCCAAAGCCATGTGTCTGGTAATTTTCCCTAGCTGTTTTATTTTGGTGCTCATGATGTTTCACATGAAGTCTTAAGGAGCTTCAGTGTCCTGCCAGAAGGAATGTCTCTGCTTGGAACAGTTCTTATTGACATGGCAGCTGTGTGAGGACCGGAACGGAGGCTTAAACTCAGCTCTCAAAATCAGTTAATACCCTAAAGTCTGGAGCAAGTGCGCACAATTACAATTGGGGGTTTGGGGGTGTCTGTAAGCACAGCCACGTCCCTTAAAAGATAAACGGTACGTTGAGTATAGGGTGTGCTTTGTAATTAGCAATTTTGTGTAAGGAAATGAGGCGTAGCTTGGACAAATAAAGGCCGGTATGAATTTACAGGGATGACAGAGAGCAGAGAGATGGCAATTAGGCGCCAATATGACCACCTTTTTTCCGGCTTCCTCCAGACCTCCCTGCCCACTTCTTTTCATCTCTCTTCAAGAGAAACTGGGACGCATTAGACGTTGGGGACAAGTGGGAAGAAGACTGTGTGGATGTTGTGATTGCGGGCACCGGGGTAGATGGAAAGGTGTGCTCCTCCTCGGAGGCCGTGCCGGGCCCGCCAGACTTTTTCCTCTCGTTTAATCCAATAGATCACGTAACTAGAAAGAAAAAGCACTATGCGCTTTGTACCAAGGAACCTACCTGCTATTTCGATCCCTTGGTTAGGGGAACCAATTGTTAGAAATGTTAATTATTGGCTCGGATATATAAGGTTTCCCAAAATGGAACCTTTCACTGAAAACCACTAAAAGAGGTAAAATGACATGAATTTACAAACCACATAAACCAAATGATCCATTTTAAATCGCACACAGAAAGGTTTGAGTTGTTCTGGTAACCTAAAACCTTTGCTGTCAATGCAAATCTCACGAAAAAGAGAGATGCATCGGATTTAAAGGGAACGAGCAACTCTAGCCAGCCTGCTGCTGCCCTGGCCTCATTGCGGCTCCAAAGGGTAACGCGACTGGCTAGGGGCGCCGGCTTTCGGCTCCCCTGTGCCTCCTCTGTACAGCTAAGAGCCAGGTGCAAATAACTGGCCTATGGAAAGGTCAATGCGAAAGCATTAGGAGCTGCTGAGGTTCTCGGATAGGTTAACATAAGGCCTTGGTTCAAAAACCTCTAGGTGAAACCCACTTTTTCCCTTCGGGCTTGGAGCGAAATACTTTGGGGCTCCTGGCCCGCTTTTCTTGGAATCCCTTCGCCATCAAGAACGATGGCGGGCATCCTACTCTACCTACGGATATTTGGAAGGGAAGGGTATCGGGAGGTTTTTCTTCAGTAAATTAGCGTCATCGCTCTGGGGCAGTGCGGAGATTCCCCACGTCCGGATTGAAGTGACAACATTCATCTTTTTCCTCCGCATAGTCGGAACTCCGGGTGCCCTCGACCCTTGGGAACTCCGGCTCCAATGGCCCGATTGGCGCCCGAACAGCCGCCCACCTGCCTGGGGGACGAAACTCCCCACCCGGTCTGAATAGGCCGAAGGCTCAGGCAGTGCGATTTGCGGACCCAGAGAAGAGAAACCCAAAACCAGTCCATTAGTAAATGAGTTTTGTGTTGTCAAGGTTCTTTCCCATCCACTTGCTGTTCTGAAAAATAGATCACGTTTCGTTATCTTTAGTGGGAATCTGCAACGTGACACCGGATCCGCGCGTCCCCCGCCTCCTTCCCTCCCTCCCTGCCTTGCTCAGCTTGGCCGAGGGGAGCCGGCCGGCCTCCTCGACTCCTCGGCTTATTTCTGAACAATGAGGATTTGTCTGTTCCCCTGGCGTATTTATGTATGGGGGGAGGGAGGGAGTTTTCTCCTGGAAGCGGGAAGCGCACAAGCAGAACCTCCCGCTTCCTTGGTGCGAAAACGCTTCGCGGGCCCAAGACTCCGGGAGACCGCCGCCCCCCGCCCACACCTGCACAAACAGAGCCAGCTGCCAGCCCCGCTCGCCGCTAAAAATCTTGCCGCCCAGCGTGGCTCCTGAAAATACCATCTCCGCATTGTCCGGAGGGACTGGAAGGGAGAGAGAAAGAGAAAGACAGACAAACCTACTGGAGGGACGGCGCCGGGAGGGAGCTCAGATTGGAGGGGATCAGAGCTGGGAGGCGAGGTGTTTGGAGGAGCTACCTCGTTTCCTCTGTGTGTGTCCCCACGTCTGGTCTCTCTCTGAGTGCGTGTCTCTATGTCATTCTCTCTTTTCTCCATCTGAAGGAGGAAGCTCGTTTATTCTGTCTGCATGGGTACCTGTTTTTCATTCTTTCATTCTCTTTCCTTAGCTCTCTCTCCCCCTCCTTATCTTTCTCATTCGGGTTTTCCTCCTCCTCCTCCTCTGTCTCTGTCTCTGTTTCTCTCTGTCTTTTGTTCCTCTCCCTTCCCCAGTTCTGGACGCTTGTTTCTTTCTGTCCGGGACAAGGTGGTGTGATGTTTCACAGACAGCGGGCTCAGGACGTCATACACCTCGGCAGCGCGGGTCCAGTGGATTCTGAAGTCTGGGCAGGAGAGTCGGGCTCGGCTAGTGACGACCCTTCACGACAAGTGGAGGCACAAGAGGTGGGAGGACCCGCGGGGAAGGCAAGAGAAGGTGGTTTGGCCACCTGGGGAGAAAGGGATGACTTCAGCTGCGCTCTTAGAATGCTCCAGCCCAAAGACTCTCCAGTCTCTAGGTTGGAGCTAGAAGACCCTACTCAACATGGGATGCCAAGCACCTTTCTAGAAAGTGGAGAAAGGGTGTTACAAGAATCAGTTCTTAGGAATTTAAGATACTCTGCCCCCCTTCTCTTTTTTAATATCGCCTTAAGGCAAGTTTACAAGATGAAACTCTTCAAGAGTGCTTACCTTCCATTGAATTTCCAATCAATTTTTTTCTCAACTAATGTACATCCTGAATACCACATCTGTCTAAGCTAAGAAGAATTTCCTTTGGGGAGGTGAAAGCCTGCAGCTCCTCCTGTTCAGAGGAA